TTGCTTATTTAGAAAAGATCCTGTCTATATTTATTAAATGATCTAATCTCCAATTAATCACAATAAATCAGCATTAATTAATTACAATCTCAGGATATTTAACTTGTACTATTTACCTTTGATCGTGGATTCAAAATATTTTCCAATTGGCTTCCTAATTGGGATAGGTAATATGACCTGAATAAAATACACAGAATTTCAACTGAAGTATATGTGAGATGTCCTTTATTTTATTGAAATTTTATATAACAATCAATCCGGTAATATTTGCAATACAATACTTTAAATATATGAGAAGTTGTTTTCTATCATGGACCCAAATGTTATTTTACATTGATTTTTAATATGTGTTATAACTAAGCTCTCTTTATAATTTTTTCTTTTTTAAATGATCGCAAAATTGACTGTCTCTATAATTTATTCAATTTATTTAATTTATAAATGAAAACCACACTCCTGCTCTAATGAAAATTGACTGACCTTTCGTTATCTGCCGTTGCAATTCTATGGCCACGCCATAAAAAAAAAACCTTTCTCTGCTTCTGCTCCTATTTTGGTCCAGAAGACGTACACCTTTCTCCTCTCTGTCCTTGTATCTGCAACCCAACAACTCGTGTAATTCTATGCAGCCTCCTTTTGAACCAATCTCCGCGCCTGTTTATAACTTCAAATGTTTCCGGCTTCGTCTGCTATTAATATTCTTATAACCTTTTGGTTTTTCTATCTCTCTGTACCCCGTTCCTCACACTCATCAGCTTTTACACCGCAAATAAACACACCCGGTAAATTACGTCTTCGGGACTTCAAACAAACACAAACCACAAAGCTCCTTCCTTCTTGGGCGACGAAAACTGACTAACCCCTTTCCTCTCTCCTATCTCATAGCCAAAACCACCCCTCCTTGCATTCAAAAATTGACCAATAAAAATCTTCTACCTCTGTGACGTATATCGTTATCAACCAACTCTCTCTATTAAAACGTCATTCGGGTAATTCCAGAAAACAACATTCTTTAATTATTCTAACTAAATCTATCTGCTTTACAAATATTTCTTACTAATAGCTACAAACGATACCTGTTTCTCAATTCAATGTCTTTTGTTAATAAACTTTTACCGATATAATCTTTCGGGGGAAAAACCACCGCACATCCCGGTCTATTGTTTAAACACTTTCTATATACACTTTTATTACGGGTAAATCCATTTCACAATAACCGACTTATTTAAGTTTCTTATCGATAATATTTGAAAGTCTTGTCTCTGAGGCCTAATGAACAATTCTTTGAACAACTTAAAATACATATTTTGTCTTATACAGGATGTTTGAAAATTTATATGCCCGTGTCATTATGAAATATCAATAATTTTAATTTTTATTTAAGTAATAAAATTTGTATATCGGTTTTTTATTGCTAACAGACATTCAAAAGTACAACAATATATATATATATATATATATATATATATATATATATATATATATATATATATATATATATATATAATATTAAATGTATATACAAAAGGTCATTTTTATTGTCGAGAGAGGATGAGAGAGAACATATTCTCTCTCTCTATCTTACTCATTATCTTACATATGTAATGGTTTCATAGCCAATCACAGCCGGAAATTGGTTTCAATTTCCAACGCCGACCTTGCGTATGGAAGTATAACTTCAATAATGTTTATTTTTTTGATAACCATTAGATACTTTTTGAGAAATGTCAGGAAAAACCAAATTAACTTTTATCTTTTTGTCCACAGTGTAAATATTGGTTAATTAAATATTTTGAAGTTGTTTGTATAAACGTTTGTCTTTACTACCTTGCATGTCTAGTGTAAACTGCCTTTATCAGCTGTTATTTTTCCGCTGTTCCGTTTTCGAAACTTTCCAGCTATTTCCTTCACCTTTCGATGGAAGTTATCATATCGAATATGATACTCCTCTATTTCCTGACATTGTTCTGTTTTTTGTTTCTCTTTGGCTTCTCATATCTTTCTTCCGATAATGGTATGTATTCTCTTATATTCTTGGAGATTTTCTTTGTTTTTTTTTCTCTGATCCATGAGTTCAAGTATTTCATTCAAGTTTCATTCATTCATTTCAAGTATCTTTCTTCAGGTGTTATTCTTTTATCTCTCTCACTGTTTCTTGTATGATGGTCAGACTTTCCTCTACAGTTCCTGCATTTTTGCATTTTAGTACCTTTGTATTGAGGTTTTCACTCACCTTCAGTCGAACATTGGGATCTTTCAGTTTACTGAAAGATCCCAATATTTTTCTTCATATTTTTTAATTGACTTACTTGTAACCTTTTTTATCCTGACTTTGAAATTACCTACAACAGGTACATGATCGGAATTTATGTCTGCCCCGGGTATGTTTTGACATATGTACTGCTGTTTCTATACCTCTTATTTACTAGCATGTAATCAATCTGATTTCTTACAATCGTAAACTTCAGGACATGCTAACCCAGTAAAAACAAATCATGAATACCCACATTTAACCCAACAGATCGTAATTATTTTAGCAGGGATCACGTGCAGATAGTATCATAAACTTTAGGAGGATAAAACCAAATATTAATATTCTGACTAATTAGAATTCGCCAACGGACTAGAGTTAGATGTAATAGCAATGCGAAAAACATAAAGATAAAAATTTTGGCATATCACATCTACAGAAACGATTTTAGAATAGTCTCAGAAGACACAGCAATTTTACTCCAAAAATAAATAAAACACAACAAAATGCCTGCTCCAGATGAATTAAAAGCAATAAAAGTAACATAAGTAAAAAAAGAAATAAAAAAACCATCTAAATAGTATCAGTTTATGTGAGTCCACAGTTTCGAATACAAAAGAGAATATTTAAATGCTGTCCTAGTCACAGAAGGATCCACAATAACAATAGGTAACCTATATCTAAGATCCCCATATCAACACGATATAACAACAAATATGAACGGAAGAATTACTATATGACTACCTGAAAGGCAAAGGCAACATACTTTCATTCATACTAAAATTATTTTTTTTTTTTCACTTTTATATATAATGTCTCCAATTTCAAACCTAGAACCCACAAAAAGATCTTTAGTCTTCCGGCGTGTTCTGGGTTTATATTGTGAGTTTTTCTGTATTTAAAACTAACTTCAGTTTTGTCTTATTAATACACATCGTATACCTATAAAATATACCTACAAAGTATACCCATAATATGGCGTAGACGCTATAATTTCGAACTTTACCGCCTTTATGACAAACCTGATATTATTAGTTTTATCAAAATAAAACGACTGCGGTGGTTAGGTCACATAGAGAGAATGAATGAGATGGAGCTGCCAAAACATATTTATAACCAAAGAATAGATGGAGTGAGAAGGAGAGGCAGACCCAGAGCACGATTTAAGGATCAGACGGAGGAAGACTTGAGAATGTTGGGAGTACGAAACTGGAAAGCCAAGACGAAGAATAGGAGAGAATGGAGACTTATCCTTAAGCAGGCCAAGACCCATCATGGGTTGTGGACCCAATGATGATTGATTGATTGATACCTATAAAATAGATTTAACAAACAAACATTTTAGCGTAAAATATGCAGTGCGCGTGGATTATGCAGAACAAAAGAATAGTTAACACAATGCAACAGGCTCAAACAAAATATTGTCCAACAAACAAAAAGGATGAAAAAGTACGTCAACTTACAAAAGTCAAGAAAATAATATAATATTTTTGAGATAAGTTAGGTTGCCTAAAGGAATTCAGTAGCTGCAGTTACGTATTATTTAAAGCGCTAAACACAATTGCTAGATGTTTCGAGAGAAAAAGTTGCTGACGAATATATTTTGTTAGTATTTATCTGTAATTGTGATACATATATGGTGTGTCTGAGAGATTCTGCATATTAGGTTTCATTTTTGATTTTAATACAATACATGCGTTTAAACATAATGCGGACCTGACTAGTAATGAAAAAGGTAATGAAACTGGAATAAATGTAACTAAAATCGTACGTTATTAATGGTTTCTAAATTAGAAAAACCGGTTTACCACGTTATTTTACTTAAACCTAATATAATTCACTTAGGAGTGAATAAATAAATATGGGTAGAAGAAGAATATAACATTTTTCAATTAATAGAAGTAATTAAGCTGGCCCCTTGTATTGGTTTTATACACTTGTTAACATATTTTCATATTAGTACATTTTCCATTATTGCTAGGTACCTACTACAATATCGTTAGGCCTAACTTGAACATTTTATGTGGTAAAAGGTTTTATAAATTTAAACTATTTGTTATTCTAAAAAAAACAAAAAGTTTTTCGCAGTCAGTAGGATTCGAACCTACGCTCCCAGAGGGAATCTGATTTCTAGTCAGACGCCTTAACCGCTCGGCCATGACTGCTCTAACTGGAATAATTTATTCTTGATACCTAATGATATAGTCTAGATATTGCCATTATTAAAAAATTATTAGCGTGTTTTATACTATTTTTTAATAATTTTACAATTATAATCATTTATATATATTTATATAACCAATTATAAATACTTTATATATTGGACCAAACCACAACGAATTGCGTTTTTATTACTTTTTCATGTTAGGATTTCCAGTCTGCAAACTGATTTTAAAAAATTCCAAAAATAAGGAAATATAAAAACAGAAAATATAGAGGTTAAAACAATTACTTATAATTTTGTTTAAAAAACAAGAAATGTATATAATTTGTTTTACAATTTATTCTGGATTATTTCCATTTCCGTATAAAATATTCAGTGAAAAGCATGCCACAAGAAAATAGTTTTGTAATTATCAGCAAATTCACGGAAATTATTAAGAACAACGATGCTAACGAAATCCTAATGGCAGGAGGCCAATAACTAGATCTAAAAATTAAAATGTAACACTACTAACAACTCGTCCCATGTATGGTAAGGTAGCGAATCTGCAAAATTCACGAAACTGCATTAACCAGTTAGGATTACCCTATACATACCTATTACAACTAGATTTACAGTCTGTTAAAGTATTGAATCTGTATCTTCAATATTAAACTCACAATCAACTGGTTCAAAGTAACGTATGTGCTTGTCTTTCAACTTTTGCAACAGTGAACTTACGAATAATTAGATTCGTAAGTTTACCGTTGGGATTTATTAAGTTCTACAAGTCCAAAATGACGAATATTGCACATTCGCGAGTTTACTAGAAAGATAATTAATATTTTTATATTATTGGACGGACTGTAAAAATTGTAAACAAAAACACACCCATGCGTAAAATAAACCAACTCTCGAGGAATTAGTCACTTAGTTTAGTTCGTTATATTGAGTGTAATAACGCAAGCTTGGACTTGTTTATTGTGTATCGGATTGTATTGGCTATCAACTATTGTTTTGATAAGTATTTTATTTTTTTTTTTTATACTTTAGTACCTACCTATACGAAGTTTTAAATAGTTGTAGCTTATTGTTTTAAAAGTTTTAATAATAAAATTCAATTTAACGGGTATCGGTTAAATAACTAAAACGTGACGTTTTGGTTTATTTGAAAAATAATTTACAAAAGATCCTTAGATGTACAAAAGTTGAAAATAGAACTAAATTTTATCATATCCATAGCGTCATAAAATGTGTATGTAAAGTTAAAAGAAGTTACCATTTTTTAATTTCCGAAAATAAAACGAACTATGTTTTTAGGAAAGTATAAAAATTGGTGTAAATGATGGACCCTCCTCTAAATGTCAGCTCCAGGACAAATAAAATTCTTCAGATGACAAGTACTTCCAGACAAGGAGACACAGCAAGAGAAGCCAAAACGAATGCTAATATTGTTCTCAAGGATATAGTCGAGGCTGAAGAGCAATACCCATTTTGTTCTGATGAAAGTGATGAATATGAACCATCTGGAGATGATTCTTCTGATTCGGAAGGTAACAGTACATACACCACACAGAAATATATTTTCTATGTAACTTTTTTTTAGGTTTTAGTACTAAAAATAGGTAGTCCACAAGATAAAACAGAAGCTTCCCCACCTGCAAGCCGTAAACAATCAAAACTAGTTACTCAGGACAAGAGGGAACAGAAAATTAAGAGGTTTCAAGGTGAGGAATATTTAACCAGCAAAGGAAAAGTCATTAGTGCGAAACCTTTGAAAGTACCGAGATGCTTGGGACGTAATAAACATAAATGTTCAATATTAATTCCTAAACTAGAAAGAGAACGAATTTATAAAGAATTTCGGAGTTTACTGTCTTTGAAAGACTATATATTCTATATATATTCTATAACTCATGTTACAATAAAACCAGTAAACAGGAGAACAACAGCTACACCATCAAGAAAATCAAGTACAAAAAAATATTCTCTGACATCAAATAGAGAGAAGCACACTGTCTGCAGAGAATTTTTTTTAGATACACTAAATATTTCTGAGGGGCTAGTAAGGGGAGTCTTGAAAAAAATTAATTCCAGTGGTATACTTCTTCCAGATATGAGAGGAACACCACCGAATAAAATTAAAAGAGAAGACGATACTTTTATTAGGGATCACATACATTCCTTTCCAAGTGTCGAGTCCCATTATTGTCGTAAAAAAAGTATGTATAAATTCTTAGAATCAACATTGAATGTTACAATTATGTACAGTTTGTATAAGAAAAAGTGAAGGACGACGTGGAAGTGTTGAAATTTCAACATGCATTTTTAAGTATATAATGGCACGACCTACGGTAGAGTATGTGCGAATGATGTCTGACAGTTGTGGGGACCAACAGAAACATTTTAGGTTTATAGTCATGTGTATGCATATCCTTAAAGAGCATCCAAATATAAAACAAATTGACCATAGATTTTTTGAACCCGGACACAGTCAAATGGAGTGTGATTCAATACACGCTAAAATTGAGCAAAAAGTTAAGAACATTCCAGTGTACACAACAGAAGGTTGGACTCAAGTTATAAGAACAGCTCGCAATAAACCTCACCCATTTGAAGTTAACCCTTTAGTGCACCAAAAATTTATGGATTTTTGTCCAGATAAATGTAATTTTCGTGGTGAAGACAACAGTAATACAAGTCTACCATTTAGAAAAGCAGTTTGGTTCATGTACAAAAAAACAGATCTAAATGCTGTATTCGTTAGAACAAACTATGAAGAAACGACACCCTTTGTCAAATATGTACTTAAACTACAACGAGGTCGTCCATCAAACTTCGAACCAGCTACGCCTTATACTAATCAACTCCCCATTTCCATTGCCAAATACAGAGACCTGAAAAAGTTATGCGAAGATCTACAGATTCCACGTGCATACCATGGATTTTATGAAAGCCTTCCTACCCAAACTCTTATAAGGGATACTCTGCCTGAACCAGATATTTCAGAAGAATCTGAATATGACGACACAATATAATTATATTGCTTTTTGTTGCAATTTTTGAGTTTTGTGTTTGGTCATGGTTTTGTTATTTTCATATTTTTTTATTTTGTATTATGTTTCCTATTAGCTGTCAATAAAAATTATTATTACTAATTAGCACCTATGTTATTATTATGTGAAGTATATCAATTTTTTCGCATATAAGCTTTAAATTAATTGCAGGAAATGGTGCTTAATATAAATACTAAAGTATATTCAATACTTTACATTAGCCAAGTATATTGGACTAAGGGATAATTTTGCAATAGATAACTAACGAATCTGCGTTTTTTTGCTTTGATAAAGGATATTGAATTTTAGATTAAGTTAATTATATAAAGACACATTTATAGAATCTAATACAAAAATTTCGTTTATTTAGGTTAATATCCCTATTTTTCACATTAACTTGAAATGTTTTTTAGCTCTCCTGTAAAATTTCAATTTTGCAGATTCGTTACTTTACCATACGAAGGACGATCTATACTGTCGAAATAAAAGTTAGAATTAAAAATCACAATTATACTTTCAGCAGATTTTTGACTAGCTTTAGAAATTCGATTGACTAAAAATGTTGTTTAGCTATATTTATAGTGTCCATCGTGGTATCTGAATTGAGAAGCGATAAGAAGATCGTATGTAAAATGTATACATAGGATTCTGAAGATCTCAGAGATGGATCACGTTATAAAAGCGAAGTTTAAAAAAAACTTCATAAATATGGATGAAGTTATGGACGTTATGGATTTCAAAAGTCCGATAGATACACATATACAAATATTAGAATAAAATAAAACTAAATATTAATGAATAATTCACACAGCCTTTCAATTGCTTTTGGGGAACTGTCTGAAAAAATGTGGTTTATGGCCTGTCTATGTCTATGTGGTTTTAGATTATCTGTAATCGCGTTGTGGACCATCCGCACAATCCTATTTGAATATAGAGTCAGCACATGTACCATGTCGCGCATGTATATGATTAAGCCTTACCCAGGTGAGCCGGAGCAAATTTGAAGCCTATGGTTGGGGTGGATATTTGGATATATATATATATATATATATATATATATATATATATATATATATATATATATATATATATATATATAGAAATGGAAAAGGATAATGCGAGTAAATAATAAAAGTAAAAAGTAATGGCATGTCTCGCAAAACAAAAAACCAAAAATGGTATATCGATGGAACGCAACCGTATATACGTATTTCTGACTATTGGTCGTCTTCAGTACGCTGCAGCCAAGTTAGAAACCCTCCTCTCATGACTAGTGTATTGTAAGGTAAATCGAGAAGAGACGGCGCAGAAGGTGAGATGGCGCGGTACGCATAAAACGAGATGTATACTGTAACGACAAACGTAGTTTACCTTGCTCCGGCATTGGAAAATGATTACGTGCTTAAAGCATGTTTAAATGATCGAAAAAGGTTTACTAATTCTCCGAAAAACTTGTTAATTGTTTGTGAAGGGTACAACAATTGTTATCAAAGATTTTGCATCCAAGATTTGAGGTACTTTTTATTCATATTTTTGGTTATATTAAGTATAGGTACAAATATGTGAGGAAACCTTAAATTACAATTCTAACCTGAAAATTCCTAGACATGTGTAAATTGAGAGTAGTTATTCAATGCGCCACGTATTGAGAGGAGAGATGGTGCACTTGCAAGGAGAGGATTATTTGATATAATAATAGTTTTTTGTATAAAAATTCAGTAATGTTTTATTGTTTTATTCATAGAGAAATATTTTATTTCAGAAATACTTTATTTGATATTTGAAAATATTTTATTTGATATAATAATAGTTTTTTGTATAAAAATTCAGTAATGTTTTATTGTTTTATTCATAGAGAAATCTTTTATTTCAGAAATACAAAATATATAAGAAAGTGTAATTCTTGTCGAGGTCAATGGACTGAGCAACAGTCCAGAGAGTGAATAAAGCTGCACGTGAATATAATATTCCAGCTTCTACATTACGTAGAAGAATATCAAACAATGATTGTAAAAAGCGTACATTGGGACCATCTTCAACACTGGGATTGGTAAAACGCAAAATTGTAACTCATTTTAAGAAGCTGAAACAACGAGGCTTTGCTCCGACTAGAGAAGATGTACGTTTCATGGCATACAAGTTAGCTAAACGCATGGAAATCCCACATAAGTTTAACAATAATACTGAAAAAGCTGGATATACTTGGTTAACATTATTTCTTTCACGAAATCCAGATTTGTCAGTAAGAAAAACCGAAGGGGTGTCTCTTGCTCGTTCTAATGGAATGTGCCGTAAAGATGTTGAACAATACTTCATATTTTTGGAGTTTATTCTCATTGAACTTGATCTATTAAATAAACCTGGCCATATTTATAATATGAATGGGACTGGGCTACAGCTAAATAATAAACCAGGATATGTTTTAGCCATAAAGGGTTTAAAAAACGTAGCAGCCATCACATCTGTAAGAAAGGCGAAACAATAACATTAATAGCATGCTGCAAACCAGAAGCTACATTTATACCTCCTGCACGTATTTTTAAGGGAAAAAATAAATAA